TCACTCCAGGTAAACTCCAGGTAAACTCACTCCAGGTAAACTCCAGATAAACTCCAGGTAAACTCCAGGTAAACTCCAGGTAAACTCACTCCAGGTAAACTCCAGGTAAACTCCAGGTAAACTCCAGGTAAACTCACTCCAGGTAAACTCCAGATAAACTCCAGGTAAACTCCAGGTAAACTCCAGGTAAACTCACTCCAGGTAAACTCCAGATAAACTCAAGGTAAACTCCAGATAAACTCCAGGTAAACTCCAGGTAAACTCCAGGTAAACTCCAGGTAAACTCCAGGTAAACTCCAGGTAAACTCCAGGTAAACTCCAGGTAAACTCCAGATAAACTCCAGGTAAACTCCAGATAAACTCCAGGTAAACTCCAGGAAAACTCCAGGTAAACTCCAGGTAAACTCACTCCAGGTAAACTCCAGATAAACTCCAGGTAAACTCCAGATAAACTCCAGGTAAACTCCAGGTAAACTCCCGGTAAACTCCAGGTAAACTCCAGGTAAACTCCAGAATAAACTCAGGTAAACTCCAGGTAAACTCCAGATAAACTCCAGGTAAACTCCAGATAAACTCCAGGTAAACTCCAGGTAAACTCCAGGTAAACTCCAGGTAAACTCCAGATAAACTCCAGGTAAACTCCAGGTAAACTCCAGGTAAACTCCAGGTAAACTCCAGGTAAACTCCAGATAAACTCCAGGTAAACTCCAGATAAACTCCAGGTAAACTCCAGGTAAACTCCAGATAAACTCCAGGTAAAAATCCAGATAAACTCCAGGTAAAACTCCAGGTAAACTCCAGGTAAACTCCAGGTAAACTCCAGGTACTCAGGTAAACTCCAGGTAAAACTCCAGGTAAACCCAGGAAACTCCAGGTAAACTCCAGGTAAACTCCAGGTAAACTCCAGGTAAACTCCAGGTAAACTCCAGATAAACTCCAGGTAAACTCCAGATAAACTCCAGGTAAACTCCAGGTAAACTCCAGGTAAACTCACTCCAGGTAAACTCCAGATAAACTCCAGGTAAACTCCAGGTAAACTCCAGGTAAACTCACTCCAGGTAAACTCCAGGTAAACTCCAGGTAAACTCCAGGTAAACTCACTCCAGGTAAACTCCAGATAAACTCCAGGTAAACTCCAGGTAAACTCCAAGTAAACTCCAGGTAAACTCACTCCAGGTAAACTCCAGATAAACTCAAGGTAAACTCCAGGTAAACTCCAGGTAAACTCCAGGTAAACTCCAGGAAAACTCCAGGTAAACTCCAGGTAAACTCCAGGTAAACTCCAGGTAAACTCCAGATAAACTCCAGGTAAACTCCAGGTAAACTCCAGATAAACTCCAGGTAAACTCCAGGTAAACTCCAGGTAAACTCCAGATAAACTCCAGGTAAACTCCAGGTAAACTCCAGGTAAACTCCAGATAAACTCCAGGTAAACTCCAGATAAACTCCAGGTAAACTCCAGGAAAACTCCAGGTAAACTCCAGGTAAACTCACTCCAGGTAAACTCCAGATAAACTCCAGGTAAACTCCAGATAAACTCCAGGTAAACTCCAGGTAAACTCCAGGTAAACTCCAGGTAAACTCCAGGTAAACTCCAGATAAACTCCAGGTAAACTCCAGGTAAACTCCAGATAAACTCCAGGTAAACTCCAGGTAAACTCCAGGTAAACTCCAGGTAAACTCCAGGTAAACTCCAGGTAAACTCCAGGTAAACTCCAGGTAAACTCCAGGTAAACTCCAGGTAAACTCCAGATAAACTCCAGGTAAACTCCAGATAAACTCCAGGTAAACTCCAGGTAAACTCCAGGTAAACTCCAGGTAAACTCCAGGTAAACTCCAGGTAAACTCCAGATAAACTCCAGGTAAACTCCAGGTAAACTCCAGGTAAACTCCACGTAAACTCCAGGTAAACTCCAGGTAAACTCCAGGTAAACTCCAGATAAACTCCAGGTAAACTCCAGGTAAACTCCAGGTAAACTCCAGGTAAACTCCAGGTAAACCCAGAAAAAACTCCAGGTAAACTCCAGATAAACTCCAGGTAAACTCCAGGTAAACTCCAGGTAAACTCCAGGTAAAACCCCCAGGTAAATCCAGATAAACTCCAGGTAAACTCCAGATAAACTCCAGGTAAACTCCAGGTAAACTCCAGGTAAACTCCACGTAAACTCCAGGTAAACTCCAGGTAAACTCCAGGTAAACTCCAGGTAAACTCCAGATAAACTCCAGGTAAACTCCAGGTAAACTCCAGGTAAACTCCAGGTAAACTCCAGGTAAACTCCAGGTAAACTCCAGATAAACTCCAGGTAAACTCCAGATAAACTCCAGATAAACTCCAGGTAAACTCCATGTAAACTCCAGGTAAACTCCAGATAAACTCCAGATAAACTCCAGGTAAACTCCAGGTAAACTCCAGGTAAACTCCAGATAAACTCCAGGTAAACTCCAGGTAAACTCCAGGTAAACTCCAGGTAAACTCCAGGTAAACTCCAGGTAAACTCCAGGTAAACTCCAGGTACACCAACATATAAGAGAGGGTTGATAAGACACATGCAACAGTCAGGTTTCTTTATTTCGAAACTTCTCGCCAACGCAGCAGCCTTCTTCAGCCGAGTACACAGCAGCCTTCTTCAGCCGAGTACACAGCAGCCTTCTTCAGCCGAGTACACAGCAGCCTTCTTCAGCCGAGTACACAGCAGCCTTCTTCAGCCGAGTACACAGCAGCCTTCTTCAGCCGAGTACACAGCAGCCTTCTTCAGCCGAGTACACAGCAGCCTTCTTCAGCCGAGTACACAGCAGCCTTCTTCAGCCGAGTACACAGCAGCCTTCTTCAGCCGAGTACACAGCAGCCTTCTTCAGCCGAGTACACAGCAGCCTTCTTCAGCCGAGTACACAGCAGCCTTCTTCAGCCGAGTACACAAGATTTAGCAGCAGAAGATACGTGAACACGATGTTATCAGTCCATCAGCCTTGTAGACGAAGTTGGGAGGTGGTCAGTCCCTCAGCCTGGGGAAGAGTCCAGCACCATGGTCTGGAACAAGGTGGTCAGTCCCTCAGCCTGGAGAAGAGTTCAGCTTCATGGTCTGGAACAAGGTGGTCAGTCCCTCAGCCTGGAGAAGAGTTCAGCTTCATGGTCTGGAACAAGGTGGTCAGTCCCTCAGCCTGGAGAAGAGTTCAGCTCCATGGTCTGGAACAAGGTGGTCAGTCCCTCAGCCTGGAGAAGAGTTCAGCTTCATGGTCTGGAACAAGGTGGTCAGTCCCTCAGCCTGGAGGAGAGTTCAGCTCCATGGTCTGGAACAAGGTGGCCAGTCCCTCAGCCTGGAGAAGAGTTTAGCTCCATGGTCTGGAACAAGGTGGTCAGTCCCTCAGCCTGGAGAAGAGTTCAGCTTCATGTCTGGAACAAGGTGGTCAGTCCCTCAGCCTGGAGAAGAGTTCAGCTCCATGGTCTGGAACAAGGTGGTCAGTCCCTCAGCCTGGAGAAGAGTCCAGCACCATGTTCTGGAACAAGGTGGTCAGTCCCTCAGCCTGGAGAAGAGTTCAGCTTCATGGTCTGGAACAAGGTGGTCAGTCCCTCAGCCTGGAGAAGAGTTCAGCTTCATGGTCTGGAACAAGGTGGTCAGTCCCTCAGCCTGGAGAAGAGTTCAGCTTCATTGTCTGGAACAAGGTGGTCAGTCCCTCAGCCTGGAGAAGAGTTCAGCTTCATGGTCTGGAACAAGGTGGCCAGTCCCTCAGCCTGGAGAAGAGTTCAGCTCCATGGTCTGGAACAAGGTGGTCAGTCCCTCAGCCTGGAGAAGAGTCCAGCTCCATGATCTGGAACAAGGTGGTCAGTCCATCAGCCTGGAGAAGAGTCCAGCTCCATGGTCTGGAACAAGATGGTCAGTCCCTCAGCCTGGAGAAGAGTTCAGTTCCATGTCTGGAACAAGGTGGTCAGCCCCTTAGCCTGGAGAAGAGTCCAGCACCATGGTCTGGAGAAAGGTGGTCAGTCCCTCAGCCTGGAGAAGAGTCCAGCTCCATGGTCTGGAACAAGGTGGTCAGTCCCTCAGCCTGGAGAAGAGTTCAGTTCCATGGTCTGGAACAAGGTGGTCAGTCCCTCAGCCTGGAGAAGAGTCAAGCTTCATGGTCTGGAACAAGGTGGTCAGTCCCTCAGCCTGGAGAAGAGTTCAGTTCCATGGTCTGGAACAAGGTGGTCAGCCCCTCAGCCTGGAGAAGAGTCCAGCTCCATGGTCTGGAAAAGGGTGGTCAGTCCCTCAGCCTGGAGAAGAGTCCAGCACCATGGTCTGGAGCAAGGTGGTCAGTCCCTCAGCCTGGAGAAGAGTCCAGCTCCATGGTCTGGAACAATGTGGTCAGTTCCTCAGCATGGAGAAGAGTCCAGCTTCATGGTCTGGAACAAGGTGGTCAGTCCCTCAGCCTGGAGAAGAGTTCAGCACCATGGTCTGGAACAAGGTGGTCAGTCCCTCAGCCTGGGGAAGAGTCCAGCTCCATGGTCTGGAACAAGGTGGTCAGTCCCTCATCCTGGAAAAGAGTTCAGCTCCATGGTCTGGAACAAGGTGGTCAGCCCCTTAGCCTGGAGAAGAGTCCAGCACCATGATCTGGAACAAGGTGATCAGTCCCTCAGCCTGGAGAAGAGTCCAGCTCCATGGTCTGGAACAAGGTGGTCAGTCCCTCAGCCTGGAGAAGAGTCTAGCACCATGGTCTGGAACAAGGTGGTCAGTCCCTCAGCCTGGAGAAGAGTTCAGCTCCATGGTCTGGAACAAGGTGGTCAGTCCCTCAGCCTGGAGAAGAGTCCAGCTCCATGGTCTGGAACAAGGTGGTCAGTCCCTCAGCCTGGAAAAGAGTTCAGCACCATGGTCTGGAAGACGATGAGGGTAATAGTAGGCCTATAACGTGTACTGAGGAGGTCTTCAAGACCCCAGCAGTAACAGCAACAGCAGAAGGAGCAGCAGCAGCAGCAGTAGCTGCAGTGATAAGCAGGTACACGCACACATACATATATTAAGCGAGCTTCCGCAATCACTATCTACTGTTATTCTGCACTGCTTGGCACTGCCACTGCTTCATATTAACTGCCTGGCACTGCTACTACTCCACAACTCACTGCCTGGCACTGCCACTGCTTCATATTCACTGCCTGGCACTGCTACTACTCCACTACTCACTGCTTGGCACTGCCACTGCTCCACATTCAGTGCCTGGCACTGCCACTTCTCCACAACTCACTGCTCCAGAACATACATGGAGCCAGGAATGGCTTCCAACATATCCATAGTTCTAAGCATCATCTTGGTAAGTACACCACCTCATAGACCACCTCATGTGGCTGATAATCCCACATAATCACCTCATAACCCTCATCATGCTGATAATCCCACATAACCACGTAAATCTAAATGATTGTGGAGGTCCTGTGAATGCCATGAATGCTGTGTGTATGCTGTGTATACCATAATATATCCCCTGGATAGGGACAGGCTTAGAGCTCAGATGAGTACTAGTAAATACTCACAGAGTTAGCTATATTGCTAATCTAGATTGGTTAAGTTAGTGAGCTTAAAACCTTTTTAATATAGGAGGGTTTTGTAGGCTGGAATTAGCTAGTGGAGAATACAGGTACTTCTCAGTGTATATATTGTATGCTTTCAGATTATTAGTAGTAGTAGTTATAGTAGTAATGGCAGTAGTAGTAGTAGTAGTAGTAGTAGTAGTAGTAGTAGTAGTAATTGTAGTAGTAGTAGTAGTTGTAGTAGTAGTAGTAGCAGTAGTAGTAGTAGTAGTAGTAGTAGTAGTAGTAGTAGTAGTAATTGTAGTAGTAGTAGTAGTAGTAGTAGTAGTAATTGTAGTAGTAGTAGTAGTTGTAGTAGTAGTAGTAGCAGTAGTAGTAGTAGTAGTAGTAGTAGTAGTAGTAATTGTAGTAGTAGTAGTAGTTGTAGTAGTAGTAGTAGCAGTAGTAGTAGTAGTAGTAGTAGTAGTAGTAGTAGTAGTAGTAGTAGTAGTAGTAGTAGTAGTAGTAGTAATTGTAGTAGTAGTAGTAATAGTAGTAGTAGTAGTAATAGTAGTAGTAGTAATTATAGTAGTAGTAGTAGTAGTAGTAGTAGTAGTAGTAATTATAGTAGTAGTAGTAGTAGTAATAGTAGTAGTAGTAGTAGTAGTAGTAGCAGTAGTAGTAGTAATTATAGTAATTATAGTAATTATCGAACAGGCGATAAATGACATGCCCATGCACTCTGCCCCAGGGCCAGACTCATGGAACTCTGTGTTCATCAAGAACTGCAAGAAGCCCCTATCACGAGCCTTTTCCATCCTATGGAGAGGGAGCATGGACACGGGGGTCGTCCCACAGTTACTAAAAACAACAGACATAGCCCCACTCCACAAAGGGGGCAGTAAAGCAACAGCAAAGAACTACAGACCAATAGCACTAACATCCCATATCATAAAAATCTTTGAAAGGGTCCTAAGAAGCAAGATCACCACCCATCTAGAAACCCATCAGTTACACAACCCAGGGCAACATGGGTTTAGAACAGGTCGCTCCTGTCTGTCTCAACTATTGGATCACTACGACAAGGTCCTAAATGCACTAGAAGACAAAAAGAATGCAGATGTAATATATACAGACTTTGCAAAAGCCTTCGACAAGTGTGACCATGGCGTAATAGCGCACAAAATGCGTGCTAAAGGAATAACAGGAAAAGTCGGTCGATGGATCTATAATTTCCTCACTAACAGAACACAGAGAGTATAGTCAACAGAGTAAAGTCCGAGGCAGCTACGGTGAAAAGCTCTGTTCCACAAGGCACAGTACTCGCTCCCATCTTGTTCCTCATCCTCATATCCGACATAGACAAGGATGTCAGCCACAGCACCGTGTCTTCCTTTGCAGATGACACCCGAATCTGCATGACAGTGTCTTCCATTGCAGACACTGCAAGGCTCCAGGCGGACATCAACCAAATCTTTCAGTGGGCTGCAGAAAACAATATGAAGTTCAACGATGAGAAATTTCAATTACTCAGATATGGTAAACATGAGGAAATTAAATCTCATCAGAGTACAAAAAAAAATTCTGGCCACAAAATAGAGCGAAAAAACAACGTCAAAGGACCTGGGAGTGATCATGTCGGAGGATCTCACCTTCAAGGCCATAACATTGTATCAATCGCATCTGCTAGAAAATGACAGGATGGATAATGAGAACCTTCAAAACTAGGGAGGCCAAGCCCATGATGACACTCTTCAGGTCACTTGTTCTATCTAGGCTGGAATATTGCTGCACACTAACAGCACCTTTCAAGGCAGGTGAAATTGCCGACCTAGAAATGTACAGAGAACTTTCACGGCGCGCATAACGGAGATAAAACACCTCAATTACTGGGAGCGCTTGAGGTTCCTAAACCTGTATTCCCTTGAACGCAGGAGGAGAGATACATGATTATATACACCTGGAAAAATCCTAGAGGGGACTAGTACCGAACTGCACACGAAAATCACTCACTACGAAAGCAAAAGACTTGGCAGACGATGCAACATCCCCCCAATGAAAAGCAGGGGTGTCACTAGCACGTTAAGAGACCATACAATAAGTGTCAGGGGCCCGAGACTGTTCAACTGCCTCCCAGCACACATAAGGGGGATTACCAACAGACCCCTGGCAGTCTTCAAGCTGGCACTGGACAAGCACCTAAAGTCAGTTCCTGATCAGCCGGGCTGTGGCTCGTACGTTGGTTTGCGTGCAGCCAGCAGCAACAGCCTGGTTGATCAGGCTCTGATCCACCAGGAGGCCTGGTCACAGACCGGGCCGCGGGGGCGTTGACCCCCGGAACTCTCTCCAGGTAAACTCCAGGTCCAGGTAGTAGTAGAAGTATTAGTAGTAGTAGTAGTAGTAATTATAGTAGTAGTAGTAATTGTAGTAGTAGTAGTAGTAATAATAGTAGTAGTAGTAGTAATAGTAGTAGTAGTAGTAGTAATAATAGTAGTAGTAGTAGTAATAATAGTAGTAGTAGTAGTAATAATAGTAGTAGTAGTAGTAATAGTAGTAGTAGTAGTAGTAATAATAGTAGTAGTAGTAGTAATAGTAGTAGTAGTAGTAGTAATAATAGTAGTAGTAGTAGTAATAGTAGTAGTAGTAGTAGTAATAGTAGTAGTAGTAGTAGTAATAATAGTAGTAGTAGTAGTAATAATAGTAGTAGTAGTAGTAATTATAGTAGTAGTAGTAGTAGTAGTAGTAGTAGTGATATTAGTAGTAGTAGTAGTGATAGTAGTAGTTTTTAGTAGTAGTAAATAGTAGTAGTAGTAGAGTGATATTAGTAGTAGTAGTAGTGATAGTTAGTAGTAGTAGTAGTAGTAGTAGTAGTAGTAGTAGTAGTAGTGATATTAGTAGTAGTAGTAGTGATAGTAGTAGTAGTAGTAGTAGTAGTAGTGATATAGTAGTAGTAGTAGTTATATAGTAGTAGTAGTAAGTAGTGATAGTAGTAGTAGTTAGTAGTAGTAGTATAGTAGTAGTATTAGTAGTAGTAGTGTAGTAGTAGTAGTAGTAGTAGTGATAGTAGTAGTATGTAGTAGTAGTGATAGTAGTAGTAAGTAAATAGTAGTGATAGTAGTAGTAGTAGTAGTAGTGATAGTAGTAGTATAGTATTAGTATTAGTAGTAGTAGTGATAGTAGTAGTAGTAAGTAGTAGTGATAGTAGTAGTAGTAGTTAGTGATAGTAGTAGTATTAGTAGTAGTAGTAGTAGTAGTGATAGTAGTATAGTATAGTAGTAGTAGTGATAGAGTAGTACTAGTAGTAGTAGTAGTGATAGTAGTAGTAGTAGTAGTAGTAGTAGTAGTAGTGTATATTAGTAGTAGTAGTAGTGATAGTATAGTAGTAGTAGTAGTGATAGTAGTAGTTAGTAGTAGTATGTAGTAGTGATAGTAGTAGTACTAGTAGTAGTAGTAGTAGTAGTGAATATTAGTAAAGTAGTAGTAGTGATAGTAGTAGTAGTAGTAGTAGTGATAGTAGTAGTATAGTAGTAGTGATAGTAGTATAGTAGTAGTAGTAGTAGTACTATAGTAGTAGTACTAGTAGTAGTGTAGTAGTGATAGTAGTAGTAGTAGTAGTGATATTATAGTACTAGTAGTAGTATAGTAGTAGTGATAGTGTAGTAGTAGTAGTAGTGATAGTAGTAGTACTAGTATGTTGTAGTAGTGTAGTAGTAGTACTAGTAGTACTAGTAGTAAGTAGTAGTAGTGATAGTAGTAGTACTAGTAGTTAGTAGTAGTAGTGATAGTTAGTAGTAGTAGTAGTGATAGTAGTAGTACTATAGTAGTAGTAGTGATAGTAGTAGTAGTAGTGATAGTAGTAGTACTTATAGTAGTAGTAGTGATAGTAGTAGTAGTAGTGATAGTAGTAGTAGTACTAGTAGTAGTAGTAGTAGTGATATTAGTAGTACTAGTAGTAGTAGTAGTAGTAGTGATAGTAGTAGTAGTAGTAGTAGTGATAGTAGTAGTACTAGTAGTAGTTGTAGTAGTGATAGTAGTAGTACTAGTAGTACTAGTAGTAGTAGTAGTAGTAGTAGTGATAGTAGTAGTACTAGTAGTAGTAGTAGTAGTAGTGATAGTATAGTAGTAGTAGTATTTAGTATAGTAGTAGTATAGTAGAGTAAGTAGTGATAGTAGTAGTACTAGTAGTAGTAGTAGTAGTAGTGATAGTAGTAGTAGTAGTAGTGATAGTAGTAGTAGTAGTAGTAGTGATAGTAGTAGTAGTAGTAGTAGTAGTAGTAGTGATAGTAGTAGTACTAGTAGTAGTAGTGATAGTAGTAGTAGTAGTAGTAGTGATAGTAGTAGTAGTAGTAGTAGTAGTGATAGTAGTAGTAGTAGTAGTAGTGATAGTAGTAGTAGTGGTAATCAAACAGTGTAATAAGTAAGTGTTGTATCCACAGATGATGGTGAAGTGTGAAGCCTCTCTACCCGCATGTGAGGTCAACTGTATCATTCCTGATACCTTAGTTGCCGACCCCTTCGATTGTAATAAATACTACATATGTACGTCAGATGGTGACTACATTGAGGACCCAGTTTCCTGTCCCGACAACCAACTATTTGAACCAGTCGACCAACGATGTGTGGATCCCAGTGTTGTAGAAGTCATCTGTCCTTCTGACTGTGAGAGATGTACCTATAACTGTGATGATGCTATTGTCAAAAAGGCAGCAAATGAGTTCGACTGCTTGTCTTATTACGACTGTAGTAATTTCCTGCCAGTGCTAATACAGTGTGAAAATGGCTTATATTTTGATGGTAATACCTGCCAGGATGATATAAGCAAGTGCTGTGCATGTAGGAAATTATGTACCCAAGAATATCTTGGATATAACATTTCTGATTTACATAACTGTTCTAACTATTATCGTTGTAATGAAGTGGGGTTCCCAGACGAGAGTCATCATGTTCACTGTACCTTAGGATATTTCGACGAAGCGACACAGTCGTGTTCAACTAGTAACGACTGTGAGAATGCATGTCGAGACAACCTTGGTTGTACTTACGAATATGTCTGTTCGGATATTGGTTATTTCCCTAAGTGTACTGAGGGTTGTTCCAGGCATTATTACAGTTGTGATGCCTCTCATATTAACCAGCTAGCAGAGACAATTACTTGTTCTGATAGCATGCTTTTCCATCCTGATCTGATGTTGTGTGTTGAACCTATATTGTGCCCTTATCCCCAAGAATAATAAGAATTCTGTAAGGTTATTGTCTACTAACCCATTGGTGCACTAGAGTGCACGTAAGAACAAGCTTGAGATGATGCTCTTCTTAATCTGGATTGAATGGTGGCTGTACAAACAGACATAGTTGGCAGTGTGAGTGCACTCATGGTATACAGCCCTTGAAAGCGGGACTAAGAAAAAGAAATTCTCAAAACACAATTCTCCAAATTAGGATAATTAGGTTAATTAAACAAGGAGAGAAGCAAACAGCAACTATTATAAAAACGCAGTTTACAAAAACTCAACCCCATCCAGCAACTCTCAGTTCACGGTACAGTACCACCATGGTACATTCAATCATCTCAACAAAGTGACCAACAATCACATTCTATCCCAACACACTAAGAAATCTCTCTACCAAGAAACACAAACATTCAGCTACACGAGACACACCAGAAGTTTACCAGATACCATGTGAAGACTGCAACCAAGTATACATGGGACAAACAGGACGAACACTGTCTACCAGATACTATGTGAAGACTGCAACCAAGTATACATGGGACAAACAGGACGAACACTGTCTACCAGCTACCATGTAAAGACTGCAACCAAGTATACATGGGACAGACAGGACGAACACTGTCTACCAGATACCATGTGAAGACTGCAACCAAGTATACATGGGACAGACAGGACGAACACTGTCTACCAGCTACCATGTAAAGACTGCAACCAAGTATACATGGGACAAACAGGACGAACACTGTCTACCAGATACCATGTGAAGACTGCAACCAAGTATACATGGACAGACAGGACGAACACTGTCTACCAGCTACCATGTAAAGACTGCAACCAAGTATACATGGGACAGACAGGACGAACACTGTCTACCAGCTACCATGTAAAGACTGCAACCAAGTATACATGGGACAAACAGGACGAACACTGTCTACCAGCTACCATGTAAAGACTGCAACCAAGTATACATGGGACAAACAGGACGAACACTGTCTACCAGCTACCATGTAAAGACTGCAACCAAGTATACATGGGACAGACAGGACGAACACTGTCTACCAGCTACCATGTGAAGACTGCAACCAAGTATACATGGGACAGAGAGGATGAACACTGTCTACCAGCTACCATGTAAAGACTGCAACCAAGTATACATGGGACAAAGAGGACGAACACTGTCTACCAGATACCATGTGAAGACTGCAACCAAGTATACATGGGACAGACAGGACGAACACTGTCTACCAGCTACCATGTAAAGACTGCAACCAAGTATACATGGGACAGACAGGACGAAACACTGTCTACAGCTACCATTAAAACTGCAACCAAGTATACAGGACAACAGACAGACACTGTCTACCACACCATGTAAAGACTGCAATCCAAGTATACATGACAAACAGACACACTGTTACAGCTACCAAGTAAAGACTGCAACCAAGTATACATGACAGAGGATGAACCTGTCTACCCCACCATGTGAAGACTCAACCAAGTATACCATGGGACAGAGAGGAAGAACATGTCTACCACCTACCTGTAAAGTACTGTCACCATTAGTATACATGGGACAGAGGACCAGAAACGGGGTCTACCATACATAAAATGAACTCTAGTTACTGGACTGAGAGATGAACACTGTTCTACCAGCTACCATAGTAAGACTGCACAAGTATATACATGACAAATAGGACAAACACTGTACTACAAGGACTCATTATAACACAATAAAGATAACCCACCATTCTCACATGCATCAAGAATCCAACATACAACTGGGAAGTGCCACCATCTAAACACAAATACCTTCAGTACCTGTCTTCTCACCGCCGCACGCTTGACACCTCCCACACTCACTGTACAGGGAAAGTGTAACCATTCCCTGTGTTCATGTTCTCACTTCAATTTATGTATCTGCTGAAGGATCCCAGAAGTGGGTCAAAATATACAAATTAATAATCTTCTGAGTTCTGTCTCAAGTTGTTGTTATTGACACGACAAGGCCCAAGTATATTATAATATATATAAATATATATATTATATATATAGATATATATAAATATATATAAACACTGATCTCTGGCTGAAGGAGACTCGAACCTATCGAACCTTAGACAGGTACGCAGTGCTTTACAATCTACCCAACACTGGTACCAATACCTTGGGCGTGTAGCAACGAGCTACCGTTGATCCAAGGCAGCCAGCTTTCAGGCAGAAGACTTTCAGCTTTTCATCTCATCCCCTGCATGCATCAGCCTTACTAGAGATTTGAACAATGCAAGATTGCGAGAGCATGCGAAATATACACAAACACTGATCTCTGGCTGAAGAGACTCGAACCTACGAACCTTGCTTTTCAATCATAACTGATGCATGCGGATGAGATGAAAAGCTGTAAGCGTGTTCCCTAGAAAGTGCTGCCTTGGATCAAACGTTACTCTCTACACGCCAAGTGAATTGGTCAGTGTGGGAACGTGGTAAAGCCAGCTGCTAGCCTTGTCCTAAGGTCCGTAGTCAGTACCTTCAGCAAGATCAGTGTATTATATATATTAAATAATATTATATTATATATAAATATATATATAATATATATAATAATATATAATATAATATATATATATATATCTAGGCCTTTCGTTTTGCAATCAACACATCATCAGGAGCTTGCAGTGTTGCAGAAAAGTACATGAAATCTGAGCAAACACTTTCAGAGTGAGCATTTTTGCTAGATTGAGGGAAACAGTAGAGGGTAAGTGCTCTAGGCATGCCAGCCAGTGCCCAGTACCCAGTGCCCAGTGCCAGGTACCTGGAAGACTGAATATTTCTTAAGTAAGTTTATTCAGGTATACACAAATACAGTTACATAAATTATCATACATAGCAGTATAATAATAATAATATCTTTATTTACTACAAGTACATGTACAAGGTATACAAGTACATGTACAAGTACATGTACAAGGTATACAAGTACATGTACAAGGTATACAGTCCTAGCTGACAACAATGACATACTACTATATAGAAACTCCCTTGTTATGCTCCACATTTCGGTACATTTCGGGCAAATTAGGTCAGTGTCCCAGGATGCGACCCACACCAGTCAACTAACACCCAGGTACCCATTTTACTGATGGGGAACATAGACAACAGGTGGAAAGAAACACGTCCAATGTTTCTACTCTGGCTGGGAATCGAACCCAGGCCCTCACCGTGTGAAGCGAGAGCGTTAGCCACCAGGCCACCAGAGACAACCTCCAGGATAACCCCAAAAGAGTCAAAGTGACTTAGTATTTCCATTCCATTATAAGCCCACCAGCAGCCCACAAGCACTGATATTGTCGTGGCAGCCCAACAAGGATAACAATTAGTGGTATGACAATCATCAACAATTCTGTCAACTTCAGTATGATGTAAAAGACATGGCATTGTAAATACAGATGTCTGGCAACTATATAAGCATTTTTTGTACCTTGGAAAAAGAGGTCCACCAGTGATTCATTTAAAAGTAGAGACATTTTGGAGGCAGTTGAACAGTCTTGGGCCTCTGACACTTATTGTGTTGTCTCTCAACGTGCTAGTGACACCCTGAGTTTTGTTTGATGCTTTCAGTCAACCTGGATAAACCAGCATGTACCTGAGGTGAACTAAGTCACCCTTGGTAAACCAGCATGTACCTGAGGTTGAGTGGGTCACCTTGGGTAAACCAGCGAGTACCTGAGGTGAAGTGGGTCACCCTGGGTAAACCAGCGAGTACCTGAGGTTGAGTGGGTCACCCTGGGTAAACCAGCAAGTACCTGAGGTGAAGTGGGTCACCCTGGGTAAACCAGCAAGTACCTGAGGTGAAGTGGGTCACCCTGGGTAAACCAGTGTGTACCTGAGGTGACATGGGTCCACCTCTGTAAATATGAGGATCTGACCATTTGGCTGCTTCCAAAGACTCATTTTGATATAGTTACATGATAGATACTTTCAATTATAGGTATTCAAGGTTATAGGAGACAGGAGGAAATACTTATTGGGGGCACTAACCCCCAGACACACCCAGGTATACTCCAGGTATACTCCAAGCATACTCCAGGTAGACTACAGGCATACACCAGGTATACTCCAAGCATACTCCAGGTATACTCCAAGCATACTCCAGGTAGACTACAGGCATACTCCAGGTATACTCCAAGCATACTCCAGGTATACTCCAAGCAAACTCCAGGTACGCTCCAGGTATATTCCAAGTATATAACAACCCAAAACCAAATCCTCAGTCACTATAACACATCTTTAGAATGGAAATTAATTAGGTTTGATCCGAGGCACGGAGAACTGCTCCGGTTCCTTGAATCACAGAAAAATGATGAGGAAGGCGAAGAATGTGTATTGCGTCGTTCAGGTGAACGTTCTCACGGGTAATTTGATGCCTCGTTTATCACCATGGGAATGACGAGTGTGTATCAGTTCACTGGTGAACACATGAACGACAATAACACTCCGGTAGATCTCAAGAACCACAGAGTTCATTTCTTCAAGGCAAATGTTAGAATCCGTGTTGTTTACGATATCTTCCCAGCTTGTTTCATTTAGGACATGGTTGACTTGGTCCCATTGTATGTTTTTGATACTGAAATTGAATTTTGTGATATACAGTCCAACTCCCCCTTGTTGCCTGTTTAGTCTGTCGCATCGGAATAGGTTATAACCTGGGATCCATATTTCGTTGTCGTAATGATCCTTTATCTGGGTCACTGTGAATGCTGTAAACATCGCATTTGACTCCGTGAGCAGCCCCTTGATGTAAGGAATTTTGTTGTTTTTTGACGGTTTTAGACCTTGTATGTTTGCAAAGACAAATGTCGTTATATTGGTGGAATTTAGGGGGGTTTTATTTGCTGACTCTAATATATGTTGTTCTGGGGTAGAGGCCAATGTCCGTGCCTCTGCTCCAGAAGTGTTTTCAGGTGGTGTAGGATTATTGTTATTTCTTGCCAGTCTTTTTTCCCTTCTGGCCCTAAAAAAACCTGTGTCCCTGGAGAGGTTATGGCTCCCCCCATTTGTTTCCCATAGTCTGGCTGGTCTGTGTCTTCTAGTCCCCTTAAGTTGATGTGCCTGGCAGTATGCACTGTAGCGTTTTCTTTCATGGCTTGACGAGTGACGCATTTCTGGGTGAAATAAGTTGCAAAAAGTTGCGCTCTCTTGTTGTCATGTGGATGCGGAAGTTTTCTGGGATGCTCAGAGGTGCATGTCCCACCTGTTTTACCAGACATACCCTGCCTGGCAGCAGTGATAAGCAGATACACGCACACATGCATATATTAAGCGAGGTTCCACAGTCACTGTCTACTGTTATTCTTCACTGCTTGGCACTACCACTGCTTCATATTCACTGCCTGGCACTGCCACTGCTACTGCTCCATTACTCACTGCCTGGCACTGCCACTGCCACTGCTCCATTACTCACTGCCTGCCACTGCCACTGCTCCATTACTCACTGCCTGCCACTGCCACTGCTCCACAACATACATGCAGCCAGGAATGGCTTCCAACATACCCATAGTTCTAACCATCATCCTGGTAAGTACACCACCTCATAGACCACATCATGTTGATAATCACACATGATCACCTGATAATCCTCATCATGTTGCTAGTAATCCCATATAGTATGTCAACACTGCCTTTCCTGGTCCTTGTATTGCCATTGTGGTCCTTGTATTACCATTGTGGTCCTTGTATTACCATTGCGGTCCTTGTATTACCATTGTGGTCTTTGTATTACCATTGTGGACCTTGTATTACCATTGTGGTCCTTGTATTACCATTGTGGTCCTTGTATTACCATTGTGGTCCTTGTATTACCATTGTGGTCCTTGTATTACCATTGTGGACCTTGTATTACCATTATGGTCCTTGTATTACCATTGTGGACCTTGTATTATCATTGTGGACCTTGTATTACCATTGTGGTCCTTGTATTACCATTGTGGTCCTTGTATTACCATTGTGGTCCTTGTATTACCATTGTGGTCCTTGTATTACCATTGTGGACCTTGTATTACCATTGTGGACCTTGTATTACCATTGTGGTCCTTGTATTACCATTGTGGACCTTGTATTACCATTGTGGTCCTTGTATTACCATTGTGGTCCTTGTATTACCATTGTGGTCCTTGTATTACCATTGTGGTCCTTGTATTACCACTGTGGACCTTGTATTACCATTGTGGACCTTGTATTACCATTGTGGTCCTTGTATTACCATTGTGGACCTTGTATTACCATTGTGGTCCTTGTATTACCATTGTGATCCTTGTATTACCATTGTGGTCCTTGTATTACCATTGTGGTCCTTGTATTACCATTGTGGACCTTGTATTACCATTGTGGACCTTGTATTACCATTGTGGTCCTTGTATTACCATTGTGGACCTTGTATTACCATTGTGGTCCTTGTATTACCATTGTGGACCTTGTATCACCATTGTGGTCCTTGTATTACCATTGTGGTCCTTGTATTACCATTGTGGACCTTGTATTACCATTGTGGACCTTGTATTACCATTGTGGACCTTGTATTACCATTGTGGACCTTGTATTACCATTGTGGACCTTGTATTACCATTGTGGACCTTGTATTACCATTGTGGTCCTTGTATTACCATTGTGGTCCTTGTATTACCATTGTGGACCTTGTTATACCATTGTGGACCTTGTATTACCAATGTGGACCTTGTATTACCATTGTGGACCTTGTATTACCATTGTGGACCTTGTATTACCATTGTGGACCTTGTATTACCGTTGTGGACCTTGTATTACCATTGTCGACCTTGTATTACCATTGTCGACCTTGTATTACCGTTGTGGACCTTGTATTACCATTGTGGACCTTGTATTACCATTGTGGTCCTAGAATAACAATTACAATGGATAATGGTTAGTGATTCTAGACGTACGACCTGACTACTATAAGCCCGGCCCCTTCAAGAAGACTCCAGGAAAGACTAGTTGAAGTGAGGACTAGAGAAGAGAACCAGCTACGAACCAGGGATGAACCAGCGACGGACCAGGGATGAACCAGCGGCGGACCAGGGATGAACCAGCAGGGGACCAGGGATGAACCAGCGGCGGACCAGGGATGAACCAGCGACGGACCAGGGATGAACCAGCGACGGACCAGGGATGAACCAGCAGGGGACCAGGGATGAACCAGCGGCGGACCAGGGATGAACCAGCGGGGGACAAGGGATGAACCAGCGACGGACCAGGGATGAACCAGCAGGGGACCAGGGATGAACCAGCGGCGGACCAGGGATGAACCAGCGACGGACCAGGGATGAACCAGCGACGGACCAGGGATGAACCAGCAGGGGACCAGGGATGAACCAGCGGCGGACCAGGGATGAACCAGCGGGGGACAAGGGATGAACCAGCGACGGACCAGGGATGAACCAGCGGGGGACAAGGGATGAACCAGCGGCGGACCAGGGTTGAACCAGCGACGGACCAGGGATGAACCAGCGACGGACCAGGGATGAACAAGCGACGGACCAGGGATGAACCAGCGACGGACCAGGGATGAACCAGCGACGGACCAGGGATGAACCAGCGACGGACCAGGGATGAACCAGCACGGACCAGGGATGAACCAGCGACGGAACCAGGGATGAACCAGCGACGGACCAGGGATGAACCAGCGACGGACCAAGGATGAACCAGCAACGGACCAGGGATGAACCAGCGACGAACCAGGGATGAACCAGCGACGGACCAGGGATGAACCAGCGACGGACCAGGGATGAACCAAGCGACGGACCAGGGATGAACCAGCGACGGACCAGGGATGAACAGCGACGGACCAGGGATGAACAAGCGACGGACCAGGGATGAACCAGCGACGGACCAGGGATGAACCAGCGACGGACCAGGGATGAACCAGCGACGGACCAGGGATGAACCAGCGACGGACCAGGGATGAACCAGCGACGGACCAGGGATGAACCAGCGACGGACCAGGGATGAACCAGCGACGGACCAGGGATGAACAAGCGACGGACCAGGGATGAACCAGCGACGGACCAGGGATGAACAGCGACGGACCAGGGATGAACCAGCGACGGACCAGGGATGAACAAGCGACGGACCAGGGATGAACCAGCGACGGACCAGGGATGAACAAGCGACGGACCAGGGATGAACCAGCGACGGACCAGGGATGAACAAGCGACGGACCAGGGATGAACCAGCGACGGACCAGGGTATGAACAAGCGACGGACCAGGGATGAACCAGCGACGGACCAGGGATGAACAAGCGACGGACCAGGGATGAACCAGCGACGGACCAGGGTTGAACCAGCGACGGACCAGGGATGAACCAGCGACGGACCAGGGATGAACCAGCGGCGGACCAGGGATGAACCAGCGACGGACCAGGGATGAACCAGCGGCGGACCAGGGATGAACCAGCGACGGACCAGGGATGAACCAGCGACGGACCAGGGATGAACCAGCGACGGACCAGGGATGAACCAGCGACGGACCAGGGATGAACCAGCGACGGACCAGGGATGAACCAGCGACGGACCAGGGATGAACCAGCGGACGGACCAGGGATGAACCAGCGAACGGACAGGGATGAACCAGCGAGAGACCAGGGATGAACCAGCGGACGGGTACCAGGGATGAACCAGCGACGAACCAGGGATGAACCAGCAACGGACTAGGGATGAACCAGGGATGAACCAGGGATGAACCAGGGATGAACCAGGGATGAACCAGGGATGAACCAGGGATGAACCAGGGATAAACCAGGAATAAACCAGGAATAAACCAGGGATGAACCAGGGATGAACCAGGGATGAACCAGGGTGACAGGGAAACCAGGGATGAAACCAGGAATAAACCAGGAATAAACCAGGGATGAACCAGGGATGAACCAGGGATAAACCAGGAAATAAACCAGGGAATAAACCAGGGATGAACCAGGGATGAACCAGGGAAAACCAGGATGAACCAGGGATGAACCAGGGATGAACCAGGGATAAACCAGGGAATAACCAGGTATAAACCAGGGATGAACCAGGGATGAACCAGGGATGAACCAGGGATGAACCAGGGATGAACCAGGGATGAACCAGGGATGAACCAGGGATGAACCAGGGATGAACCAGGGATGAAACCAGGGATGAACCAGGGATGAACCAGGGATGAACCAGGGATGAACCAGGTATGAACCAGGATGAACAGTATGAACCAGGATGAACCAGGGATGAACCAGGGATGAACCAGGGATGAACCAGGATGAACCAGGGATGAACCAGGATGAACCAGGGATGAACCAGGGATGAACCAGGGATGAACAGGATGACCAGGTATGAACCAGGGATGAACCAGGGATGAACCAGGGATGAACCAGGGATGAACCAGGGATGAACCAGGTATGAACCAGGGATGAACCAGGTATGAACCAGGGATGAACCAGGGATGAACCAGGGATGAACCAGGTATGAACCAGGATGAACCAGGGATGAACCAGGATGACACAGGTATGAACCAGGGATGAACAGGTGAACAGGGATGAACCAGGGATGAACCAGGGATAACCAGTGAAGGACCAGGGATGAAACCAGGTATGAACCAGGGATGAACCAGGGATGAACCAGGGATGAACCAGGGATGAACCAGGGATGAACCAGGTATGAACCAGGGATGAACCAGGGATGAACCAGGGATGAACCAGGGATGAACCAGGGATGAACCAGGGGAATGAACCAGGTATGAACCAGGATGAACCAGGGATGAACCAGGGATGAACCAGGTATGAACCAGGGATGAACCAGGGATGAACCAGGGATGAACCAGGGATGAACCAGGGATGAACCAGGGATGAACCAGGGATGAACCAGGGATGAACCAGGGATGAACCAGGGATGAACCAGGAATAAACCAGGGATGAACCAGGGATGAACCAGGGATGAACCAGGGATGAACCAGGGATGAACCAGGATAACCAGGAATAAACCAGGAGATGAACCAGGGATGAACCAGGGTGATGAAACCAGGGATGAACCAGGGATAAACCAGGAATAAACCAGGAATAAACCAGGGATGAACCAGGGATGAACCAGGAAACCAGGGATGAACCAGGTATGAACCAGGGATGAACCAGGGATAAACCAGGAATAAACCAGGAATAAACCAGGAATAAACCAGGGATGAACCAGGGATGAACCAGGGATGAACCAGGTATGAACCAGGGATGAACCAGGGATAAACCAGGAATAAACCAGGAATAAACCAGGGATGAACCAGGGATGAACCAGGGATGAACCAGGTATGAACCAGGGATGAACCAGGGATGAACCAGGGATAAACCAGGAATAAACCAGGAATAAACCAGGGATGAACCAGGGATGAACCAGGGATGAACCAGGGATGAACCAGGGATGAACCAGGGATGAACCAGGGATAAACCAGGAATAACCAGGGATGAAACCAGGATGAACCGGGATGAACCAGGGATGAACCAGGGATGAACCAGGGATGAACCAGGGATGAACCAGGGATGAACCAGGGATGAACCAGGAATGAACCAGGGATGAACCAGGGATGAACCAGGGATGAACCAGGGATGAACCAGGGATGAACCAGGGATGAACCAGGGATGAAACCAGGGATAGAACCAGGAATAAACCAGGATGAACCAGGGATGAACCAGAAAAACAGGGATGAACCAGGGATGAACCAGGGATGAACCAGGGATGAACCAGGGATAAACCAGGAATAAACCAGGAATAAACCAGGGATGAACCAGGGATGAACCAGGGATGAACCAGGGATGAACCAGGGATGAACCAGGGATAAACCAGGAATAAACAGGGATAAACCAGTGGATGAACCAGGGATGAACCAGGGATGAACCAGGTATGAACCAGGGATGAACCAGGGATAAACCAGGGATGAAACCAGGATAAACCAGGAATAAACCAGGGATGAACCAGGGATGAACCAGGGATGAACCAGGGATGAACCAGGGATGAACCAGGAATAAACCAGGAATAAACCAGGAATAAACCAGGGATGAACCAGGGATGAACCAGGGATGAACCAGGTATGAACCAGGGATGAACCAGGGATAAACCAGGATAGAACCAGGAATAACCAGGAATAAACCAGGAATAAACCAGGGATGAACCAGGGATGAACCAGGGATGAACCAGGGATGAACCAGGGATGAACCAGGGATAACCAGGATAAACCAGGGATGAACCAGGGATGAACCAGGGATGAACCAGGGATGAACCAGGGATGAACCAGGGATGAACCAGGTATGAACCAGGGATGAACCAGGGATGAACCAGGGATGAACCAGGTATGAACCAGGGATGAACCAGGGATGAACCAGGGATGAACCAGGGATAACCAGGGATGAACCAGGATAACGGGATGAACCAGGGATGAACCAGGGATGAACCAGGGGATGAACCAGGAATAAACCAGGGATGAACCAGGGATGAACCAGGAATAAACCAGGGATGAACCAGGGAAATGAACCAGGATGAACCAGGAGATACCAGGGATGTACCGGGATTGAACCAGGGAATAAACCAGGAATAACCAGGATGACCAGGGATGAACCAGGGATGAACCAGGGATGAACCAGGGATGAACCAGGGAATGAACCGGGATAACCAGGGATAAACCAGGGAATAACCAGGGCTGAACCTGAACCAGGGATGAACAGGGAGCAGGATGTAACCAGGGATACCAGGATCAGGAATAAACCATGGTGAACTAGGGATGAGCCAGGCACTGACCTGGTACTGGTCCAGATCGGGTAACAGGATGCCAGGATACCGCTGTAACTGATGAACCAGGGATAAGCCTGGACTAAACCGGGTGCTAGGGGATGGCAGGGTGACAGGATGACCAGGAATACCCGGATGACAGGGATCGGATCAGGGACTAGGGATGAACCATGGGAGCAGGGTACCTGGATGAACTAGGATGAACAGGTAGAAGGGATGACAGGGATGAACCAGGGTGAACTGGCTAGAATATGACAGGCAGATGGCCGTGTCCAGTGATTATTATGGCTAGTTGGTGGAGGCTAGCTAGCTGACTGGCTGGCTAGATGGCGGGCTAGATGGCTGGCTACCTGGCTGTCTAGATGGCGGGCTAGATGGCTGGCTACCTGGCTGGCTAGATGGCGGGCTAGATGGCTGGCTACCTGGCTGTCTAGATGGCGGGCTAGATGGCTGGCTACCTGGCTGGCTAGATGGCAGGCTAGATGGCTGGCTACCTGGCTGGCTAGATGGCAGGCTAAATGGCTGCCTACCTGGCTGGCTAGATGGCAGGCTAGATGGCTGGCTACCTGGCTGGCTAGATGGCAGGCTAAATGGCTGCCTACCTGGCTGGCTAGATGGCGGGCTAGATGGCTGGCTACCTGGCTGGCTAGATGGCAGGCTAAATGGCTGCCTACCTGGCTGGCTAGATGGCGAGCTAGATGGCTGGCTAGGTGGCAGGCTAGCTTGATGGCTGGCTAGATGGCTGACGCATGACTCGTGGAGCTCCGTGTTCATTAAGAACTGCAAGAAGCCCCTATCACGAGCCTTTTCCATCCTATGGAGAGGGAGCATGGACACGGGGGTCGTCCCTCAGTTACTAAAAACAACAGACATAGCCCCACTCCACAAAGGGGGCAGTAAAGCAACAGCAAAGAACTACAGACCAATAGCACTAACATCCCATATCATAAAAATCTTTGAAAGGGTCCTAAGAAGCAAGATCACCACCCATCTAGAAACCCATCAGTTACACAACCCAGGGCAACATGGGTTTAGAACAGGTCGCTCCTGTCTGTCTCAACTATTGGATCACTACGACAAGGTCCTAAATGCACTAGAAGACAAAAAGAATGCAGATGTAATATATACAGACTTTGCAAAAGCCTTCGACAAGTGTGACCATGGCGTAATAGCGCACAAAATGCGCGCTAAAGGAATAACAGGAAAAGTCGGTCGATGGATCTATAATTTCCTCACTAACAGAACACAGAGAGTAGTCGTCAACAGAGTAAAGTCCGAGGCAGCTACGGTGAAAAACTCTGTTCCACAAGGCACAGTACTCGCTCCCAGTGTTCCACAAGGCACAGTACTCGCTCCCAGTGTTCCACAAGGCACAGTACTCGCTCCTATCTTGTTTCTCATCCTCATATCTGACATAGACAAGGAAGTCAGCCACAGCACCGTGTCTTCCTTTGCAGATGACACCCGAATCTGCATGACACTGCAAGGCTCCAGGAGGACATTGCAGACACTGCAAGGCTCCAGGAGGACATTGCAGACACTGCAAGGCTCCAGGAGGACATTGCAGACACTGCAAGGCTCCAGGCGGACATCAACCAAATCTTTCAGTGGGCTGCAGAAAACAATATGAAGTTCAACGATGAGAAATTTCAATTACTCAGATATGGTAAACATGAGGAAATTAAATCTTCATCAGAGTACAAAACAAATTCTGGCCACAAAATAGAGCGAAACACCAACGTCAAAGACCTGGGAGTGATCATGTCGGAGGATCTCACCTTCAAGGACCATAACATTGTATCAATCGCATCTGCTAGAAAAATGACAGGATGGATAATGAGAACCTTCAAAACTAGGGAGGCCAAGCCCATGATGACACTCTTCAGGTCACTTGTTCTATCTAGGCTGGAATATTGTGCACACTAACAGCACCTTTCAAGGCAGGTGAAATTGCCGACATAGAAAATGTACAGAGAACTTTCACGGCGCGCATAACGGAGATAAAACACCTCAATTACTGGGAGCGCTTGAGGTTCCTAAACCTGTATTCCCTGGAACGCAGGAGGGAGAGATACATGATTATATACACCTGGAAAATCCTAGAGGGACTAGTACCGAACTTGCACACGAAAATCACTCACTACGAATGCAAAAGACTTGGCAGACGATGCAACATCCCCCCAATGAAAAGCAGGGGTGTCACTAGCACGTTAAGAGACCATACAATAAGTGTCAGGGACCCGAGACTGTTCAACTGCCTCCCAGCACACATAAGGGGGATTACCAACAGACCCCTGGCAGTCTTCAAGCTGGCACTGGACAAGAACCTAAAGTCGGTTCCTGACCAGCCGGGCTGTGGCTCGTACGTTGGTTTGCGTGCAGCCAGCAGCAACAGCCTGGTTGATCAGGCTCTGATCCACCAGGAGGCCTGGTCACAGACCGGGCCGCGGGGGCGTTGACCCCCGGAACTCTCTCCAGGTAAACTCCAGGTAATTATATTTATTTATTTATTATATCATTTATCATATTTAACAATATTAACATCGCAAATATCAATGGTTAGGTGTTAGTCACATAAACATGTCACTTTATCTATACATTAAACAAGTGTTATTTTTGCAGGTGTTGGCGGTGAAAAAACAGACAGCAGTTAAAAACTGTGCCGTTTCTTGTTCCTCTGCTGGATCACTTGCTGCAGACCCCTTCGACTGTCAGAATTACTACGTGTGTTTGAGCGTCCACTTCCTACAGTGACTTTCCAAATTCCTGCCCTGATGGTGAGAATTTTGACAGTGTTCACCAGGTGTGCACGACTTCAGCAGTGACTTGCCCTTCTTTCTGCTTAAAGTGCACATACGACTGTACAAAAAAAATTGTTAATAAGGCATCAGACCAGTACAATTGTTCCGTATACTATGAGTGCAGTGGGACGACTCCACTGAAGATGGAGTGCCCATCAGGCCTGTATTTTGATGGTCACATTTGCCAGACAGATATGAAGAAATGCTGTTCATGTCGACCAGATTGCACTGGTGCTCCAATTGGTCAAAAGTATCCAGATTATCGTAATTGCACTAATTATTATCTTTGTACAGCAAGTGGAATACCAGACGAAGCCTATCACTTTCACTGTCTAACTGGTAACTTCGACATTGTACAACAAGACTGTGTAGAAGGCGCTAAATGTGAAACCCAGTGCGATGAGATTCCATATTGTGATGATTCCTTCATATGTGCTTCAGTTGGGTACTTCCCTAGGTGCTATGGCATGTGTGACACGTATTATTACCTATGTGATACAAATATGATCGGCCAGCCAGGAGAACTCTTGGTTTGCTCAGATGGGAAAGTCATCGACCCTGACATAGTAAAGTGTGTTGATCCAGAAGATTGTCCTTACTAACACTCCTGAAGGATCCTTGAAGTTTGTACACTAGGTTCCTTACTGCAGGATCCTTCAGTCTTATACACCAGGATCCTCACCGCAGGATCCCACTGGTGTTTTTAAGGTCCCCACTACTGTTATTAAGGTCCCCACAACTGTTATTAAGGTCCCCACTACAGTTATTAAGGTCCTCACTACTGTTATTAAGGTTCCCACTACTGTTATTAAGGTCCCCACTACTGTTATTAAGGTCCCCACTACTGTTATTAAGGTCCCCACAACTGTTATTAAGGTCCCCACTACTGATATTAAGGTCCCAGTACTGTTCTTAAGGACCCACTACTGTTATTAAGGTCCCACTACTGTTATTAAGGTCCTCACTGCTGTTATTAAGGTCCTCACTACTGTTATTAAGGTCCCCACTACTACTATTAAGGTCCCCATAACTGTTATTAAGGTCCCCACTACAGTTATTAAGGTCCTCACTACTGTTATTTAGGTCCCCACTACTGTTATTAAGGTCCTCACTACTGTTATTAAGGTCCTCACTACTGTTACTAAGGTCCCCACTACTGTTATTAAGGTCCCCACTACTGTTATTAAGGTCCCCACTACTGTTATTAAGGTCCAAACAACTGTTATTAAGGTCCCACTACTGTTATTAAGGTCCCCACTACTATTATTAAGGTCCCACTACTGTTATTAAGGTCCTCACTACTGTTATTAAGGTCCCCACTGGTGTTATTAAGGTCTCCACTGGTGTTATTAAGGTCCCCACTGGTGTTATTAAGGTCCGCACTGGTGTTATTAAGGTCCCCACTGGTGTTATTAAGGTCCCACTACTGTTATTAAGGTCCCCACTACTGTTATTAAGGTCCCCACTGGTGTTATTAAGGTCCTCACTACTGTTATTAAGGGCTCCACTACTGTTATTAAGGTCCCCACTACTGTTAGTAAGGTCAAACTACCGTTATTAAGGTCCCCACTACTGTTATTAAGGTCCCCACTGGTGTTATTAAGGTCCCACTACTGTTATTAAGGTCCCCACTACTGCTATTAAGGTCCCTACTACTGTTATTAAGGTCCCCACTACTGTTATTAAGGTCCCCACTACTGTAATTAAGATCCCCACTACTGTTATCAAAGTTCTTACAACTGTTATTAAGGTCCCCACTACTGCTATTAAGGTCCCTACTACTGTTATTAAGGTCCCCACTGGTGTTATTAAGGTCCCCACTGGTGTTATTAAGGTCCCACTACTGTTATTAAGGTCCCACTATTGTTATTAGGGTCCCCACTTCTGTTATTAAAGTCCCACTACTGTTATTAAGGTCCCTACTACTGTTATTAAGGTCCCCACTACTGTTATTAAGGTCCCACTACTGTTATTAAGGTCCCCACTGGTGTTATTAAGGTCCCCACTACTGTTATTAAGGTCCCCACTGGTGTTATTAAGGTCCCTCTACTGTTATTAAGGTCTCCACTGGTGTTATTAAGGTCCCACTACTGTTATTAAGGTCCCCACTACTGTTATTAAGGTCCCCACTGGTGTTATTAAGGTCCCACTACTGTTAGTAAGGTCCCCACAACTGTTATTAATGTCTCACTACTGTTATTAAGGTCCCCACTGGTGTTATTAAGGTCCCCGCTGGTGTTATTAAGGTCCCCACTGGTGTTATTAAGGTCCCACTACTGTTAGTAAGGTCCCCACAACTGTTATTAATGTCTCACTACTGTTATTAAGGTCCCCACTGGTGTTATTAAGGTCCCCGCTGGTGTTATTAAGGTCCCCACTGGTGTTATTAAGGTCCCCACTGGTGTTATTAAGGTCCCCACTGGTGTTATTAAGGTCCCCACTGGTGTTATTAAGGTCCCCACTGGTGTTAATTTAAAGGTCCCCACTGGTGTTATTAATGTCCCCACTGGTGTTATTAAGGTCCCCACTGGTGTTATTAAGGTCCCCACTGGTGTTATTAAGGTCCCCACTGGTGTTATTAAGGTCCCCCTGGTGTTATTAAGGTCCCCACTGGTGTTATTAAGGTCCCCACTGGTGTTATTAAGGTCCCCACTGGTGTTATTAAGGTCCCCACTGGTGTTATTAAAGTCCCCACTGGTGTTATTAAGGTCCCCACTGGTGTTATTAAGGTCCCCACTGGCGTTATTAAGGTCCCCACTGGTGTTATTAAGGTCCCCACTGGTGTTATTAAGGTCTCTACTACTGTTATTAAGGTCCCCACTGGTGTTATTAAGGTTCCCACTGGTGAATTTTGTTTAATAAAAATATTCACAATGTGCCCACTGGAGTAATTTCATCCATGTGTCTTTTAGAAGTATTTAATAACAAAAATTGGACTATTGATTTATGGCTTCATCAGTCCAACAATGACTGAGAAAATCGATTCCAATCTGAGGGACTGATTACCTCCAAGTCCTTCTGATCTTCATCATTTTTCTCCGTATTGGACTGATGAAGCCACTGATTAGCGAAACATCTCCACAATAAAGACCCCCAGTTGTATGACCCCCAGGTGCATGACCCCCAGGTGTATGACCCCCAGGTGTATGACCCCCAGTGTATGACCCCCAGGTGTATGACCCTCAGGTGTATGACCCCCAGGTGTATGACCCCCAGGTGCATGACCCCCAGGTGTATGACCCCCAGGTGTATGACCCCCAGGTGTATGACACCCAGGTGTATGACCCCCAGGTGTATGACCCCCAGGTGTATGACCCCCAGGTGTATGACACCCAGGTGTATGACCCCCAGGTGTATGACCCCCAGGTGTATGACCCCCAGTGTATGACCCCCAGGTGTATGATCCCCAGGTGTATGACCCCCAGGTGTATGACACCAAGGTGTATGACCCCCAGGTGTATGACCCCCAGGTGCATGACCCCCAGGTGCATGACCCCCAGGTGTATGACCCCCAGGTGTATAACCCCAGGTGTATAACCCCCAGGTGTATGACCCCAGGTGTATGACCCCCAGTTGTATAACCCCCAGGTGTATGACCCCCAGGTGTATGACCCCCAGTTGTATAACCCCCAGGTGTATGACCCCAGTTGTATAACCCCCAGGTGTATGACCCCCAGTTGTATAACCCCCAGTTGTATAACCCCCAGGTGTATGACCCCCATTGTATGATCCCCAGGTGTTGCATGATCTCCCAGGTGTTGTATGATCTCCCAGGTGTTGTATGATCTCCCAGGTGTTGTATGATCTCCCAGGTGTTGTATGATCTCCCAGGTGTTGTATGATCTCCAGGTGTTGTTATGATCTCCAGGTGGTTGTAGGATCTCCCAGGTGTTGTATGATCTCCCAGGTGTTGTATGATCTCCCAGGTGTTGTATGATCTCCCAGGTATTGCATGATCTCCCAGGTGTTGCATGATCTCCCAGGTGTTGTATGATCTCCCAGGTGTTGTATGATCTCCCAGGTGATGTTTGACCTCCCAGGTGTTGTTATGACCTCCAGGTGTTGTATGATCTCCCAGGTATGGCTTGATATCCAGATGTTGTATGATCTACCAAGGTGTTGTATGACCTCCCAGGATGTTCTAGGATCTCCCAGGTGTTGTATGATTCTCCCAGGTATTGCATTGATCTCCCAGGTGTTGTTCTTATGATCTCCGGTAGCTGCATGAACTCCCAGGTTTTGTATGATCTCCCCAGGTATTGCTGGGTCTCCCAGGTGTTGTATGATCTCCCAGGTGTTGTACTGATTCCAGGTGTTGTATGATCTCCCAGGTGTTGTATGAATCTCCCCAGGTGTTGTTTGATGTCCCAGGTGTTGTATGATCTCCCAGGTGTTGTATGATCTCCCAGGTGTTGTATGATCTCCCAGGTGTTGTATGATCTCCAAGGTATTGCAAGATCTCCAGGTGTTGATTATTCCCAGGTTGTGCATGATCTCCCAGCTGGTGTTGTGTGATCTCCCAGGTGTAGGATGATCTCCCAGTGTTTGTATGACCTCCCCAGGTGTTGTATGACCACCCAGGTGTTGTATGATCTCCCAGGTATGCATGAACTCCCAGATGTGTATGATCTACAGGTGTTGTATGATCTCCCAGGTCTTGCATGATCTCCCAGATGTTGTATGATCACCCAGGTGTTGACTGTTCTCAGGTGTTAGATCATCCCAGGTGTTGTATGATCTCCCAGGTGTTGTATGATCTCCCAGGTGTTGCATGATCTCCCAGGTGTTGCATGATCTCCCAGGTGTTGTATGATCTCCCAGGTGTTGTATGATCTCCCAGGTGTTGTATGATCTACCAGGAGTGTATGCTCTCCCAGGTGTTGTATGATCTCCCAGGGTGTTGTATGATCTCAGGTGTTGTATGATCTCCAGGTGTTGTATGATTCTCCCAGGTGTTGTATGATCTCCAGGTGGTTTGAAATGACTCTCCCAGGGTTGTATGATCTCCAGGTGTTGTATGATCTCCAGATGTAGAGTAGTTTGTATGATCTCTCCCAAGGTCGCGCGCGCTCGTTATCTCCAGGTGTTGTTTGATCTCCCAGGTGTTTTCTGGTCTTTCAGGTGTTGTATGCATCTCCCAGGTGTTTGTATGATTCTCCCAGGTGTTGTATGATCTCCCAGGTGTTGCTTGATCTCCAGGTGTTGTATAGATCTCCCAGGTGTGTTGTAGGATTCCCGGTGTTGTATGTCTCCAGGTTGTTGTATGATCTCCCAGGTGTTGTATGATCTCCCAGGTGTTGTATGATCTCCCAGGTGTTGTATGATCTCCCAGGTGTTGTATGATCTCCCAGGTGTTGCATGATCCCACCAGGTGTTGTCATGATCTCCCAGGTTTGTTGTTTGTTCTCCCAGGTGTTGTTATGATTCCAGGTGTTGTAGATTCCCAGGTGGTGTATGATCCTCCAGGTGGTTGTAGATCTCCCAGGTGTTGTATGATCTCACAGGTATTGCATAATCTCCCAGGTGTTCGCATGATCTCCAGGTGTGTATGATCTCCCAGGTGTTGTATTATCTCCCGGTGTTGTATGATCTCCCAGGTGTTGTTTTGATCTCCACGCGTGTTGTATGACCTACCAGGTGTTGTATGATCTCCCAGGTGTTGTATGAATTACCAGTATTGGCTGATCACTCCAGATGTTGTTGATCTCCCAGGTCTTGTATGGACTCCCAGGTGTGTGTTGATCTCCCAGATGTGTAATGATCTCCCAGGTGTTGTATGATCTCCAAGGTGTTGTTGAGCCTCCCAGGTGTTGTCTGATCTCCCTGTGTTGTATGAGCTTCAGGTATTGCATGATCCCAGGTCGTTGTATGATATCCAGGTATTGCATGATCTCCCAGGTGTTGCATGGATCTCCACCAGGTGTAGTATGATCCTCCTAGTTGTTGTTATGATCTTCCATGTGTTGTATAGATCTCCCAGGATTATTGCATGAATCTCCCGGTTTTGACATGATCTCCAGTTGTTGTATGATCTCCCAGGTGTTGTATGAATCTCCCAGGTGTTCGTATGATCTCCCAGGTGTGTATGAAATCTCCCAGGTGTTGGTATGATCTACCAGGTGTTGTTATGATGTCACAGGTGTTGTATGATCTCCCAGGTGTTGTATGATCTCCCAGGTGTTGTATGATCTCCCAGGTGTTGTATGATCTCCCAGGTATTGCATGATCTCCCAG